CACCCCCCCCCCCATCATATCTGTATATACAATGTTCTCTCTATATTGGGGTGTCACCCCTCCCCCATCATATCTGTATATACAATGTTCTCTCTATATTGGGGTGTCACCCCCCCCCCCCCCCCATCATATCTGTATATACAATGTTCTCTCTATATTGGGGTGTGTCCCCCCCCCATCATATCTCTATATACAATGTTCTCTCTATATTGGGGTGTCACCCCTCCCCCATCATATCTGTATATACAATGTTCTCTCTATATTGGGGTGTCCCCCCCCCCATCATATCTGTATATACAATGTTCTCTCTATATTGGGGTGTCCCCCCCCCCCCATCATATCTGTATATACAATGTTCTCTCTATATTGGGGTGTCACCCCCCCCCCATCATATCTGTATATACAATGTTCTCTCTATATTGGGGGGGTGTCACCCCTCCCCCCATATCCCTCCCCATATCTGTATACAATGTTTCTCTATATTGGGGTGTCCCCCCCCCCCCCATCATATCTGTATATACAATGTTCTCTCTATATTGGGGTGTCACCCCTCCCCCATCATATCTGTATATACAATGTTCTCTCTATTGGGGTGTCACCCCCCCCCATCATATCTGTATATACAATGTTCTCTCTATATTGGGGTGTCCCCCCCCCCATCATATCTGTATATACAATGTTCTCTCTATATTGGGGTGTCACCCCCCCCCATCATATCTGTATATACAATGTTCTCTCTATATTGGGGTGTCCCCCCCTCCCCCATCATATCTGTATATACAATGTTCTCTCTATATTGGGGTGTCACCCCCCCCCCCATCATATCTGTATATACAATGTTCTCTCTATATTGGGGTGTCACCCCTCCCCCATCATATCTGTATATACAATGTTCTCTCTATATTGGGGGTGTCACCCCCCTCCCCCATCATATCTGTATATACAATGTTCTCTCTATATTGGGGTGTCACCCCCCCCCATCATATCTGTATATACAATGTTCTCTCTATATTGGGGTGTCACCCCCCCCCCATCATATCTGTATATACAATGTTCTCTCTATATTGGGGTGTCACCCCCCCCCCATCATATCTGTATATACAATGTTCTCTCTATATTGGGGTGTCCCCCCCCATCATATCTGTATATACAATGTTCTCTCTATATTGGGGTGTCCCCCCCCCCCCATCATATCTGTATATACAATGTTCTCTCTATATTGGGGTGTCCCCCTCCCCCATCATATCTGTATATACAATGTTCTCTCTATATTGGGGTGTCCCCCCTCCCCCATCATATCTGTATATACAATGTTCTCTCTATATTGGGGTGTCACCCCTCCCCCATCATATCTGTATATACAATGTTTCTCTATATTGGGGTGTCACCCCCCCCCCCATCATATCTGTATATACAATGTTCTCTCTATATTGGGGTGTCCCCCCCCCCCATCATATCTGTATATACAATGTTCTCTCTATATTGGGGTCCCCCCCCCCCCATCATATCTGTATATACAATGGAGAGAAGGGTTGGGATTGGTGGGTTGGAGGCACGGTGGGTCGGAGGCACGGAGGAGACCTTCGCCATCAGAAGACATGGAACCTCGCGTTGGTGGTGTAGTGGTTAGCATGGCTGCTTTCCCAGCAGCTGACTCGGGTTCAATTCCCGGCCAACGCAATATCCAACATGGCTGCCTCCCCTCCTAGGTGATCGGAGTCCCCCGGGGGAAAAGGCCGATACAAATCCAGTGTGGGGATATATATTACTGGTGGGATCAAATACAAACCAAAACCAATGAAGGGGATGTGTCGTCTGATTGGACAGATTTCATTACACACCCTCCAATAGCAGACTTCCTGCAGATGGATCGCATTGTTCTGTGTTCTCCATTCCAGCCAGTAGGTGGAGAACTCCGCCCCTTCTCTGGTATCTTCTAGGCCTCCCCAAACCTTCCAGTACCCCGAAAAAATAACCCCCCCCAGCAACATAACACTTCTTCCCCCAAGCAAAAATAGACCCCTCCCTCAACAATAGATTCCTCCCCTGCAATAAACCCCCCAGCAGCATAATAAATCCCCCAACCATAGACCATAGACCCCCACCCAGTAGACCTCCCATAGACCCCTCCCACCTTCCCCATAGACCCCCCCCCACCATAGATCCCCCCAGCAATAAACCCCCCTGAGACACATAAGACTTCCCCATACCATGCAACACAATAGATCCCCCCTAACCGACCCCCCAGACTTCCCCCAGATAGGCTCCTCCCACCCAGATCCCCCCAATAACCGACCCCCTGAGCAACATAAGACTTCCCACACCATGCAACAATAGACCCCTCCCTCAACAATAGACCCCTCCCTCAAGATTAAATCCCCATCAGCAACGATAGATCCCCCAGCAGTCGGGATCATTGGACCCTTCAGCACCACTTGCCATTACATACATTTTGAACAGGGAAAAAAAAATCTCTGGTCACATGACCACTGATCCTTCCCAGCCCCGGGTGTTCTGAACTGTTTAAAGGGATGGCGGGGGCGGGAAGGGGTTCAAACAGGGGCGGACTGACCATTTGGAAACTCGGGCACTGCTCGAGGACCCGGGGGAAGGAGGGGGCCCCATGAGATGCCCCTGGTACCTTTTTCATAGGCTTTTTTGAGTTTGGGCAAGGACACAGGGCCCCATGATCTCCTATTGGCCAGGGGCCCCATGAGTCGTTAGTCCGCCCCTGGGTTCAAATCACAAGGATACGAGAGATGGAGATCATCAATAGTGTGCTTCTTTCTGCTGTGTGACGGCTGCCTGCCCACCCACATGCAGGAGAAGAACGCACCCCAGGCTGAGGCATTCATGCTTCCGGTTACACAAAAACATTTGAGGGATTATGCTGAGTATTAGAAGCTGCTTCTGCGGAGCGCCCCCACAGGTGAATGGGCGGTATGGTGCTCAGTGCTCCGCCCCCTAATTAATCAGAATACATTGTGAGTCGTTATTAAATTTTTTTTTTTTTTTTTTAAAAAAAGTCCCGACTCTGAGCTCCACAATCTGGGCGTCCATTCTCCTCACCCCCCCCCCCCCCCCCCCCCCCCCCCCCCTAATTGGCAGCATTTTCCTGTGAAATCTGTAGTTTAAAACGCTTCATTGTTCAATATATTGTATTAGTGCGTTCCGCGCATAATGATGGGCCCCCCCCCCCCCCCCCCCCCCCCCCCCCCCCCCCTCCCCCTCCCCCATCCCGTCCTGACTTTAAATCGCCTTGTGGAAGAAATTCTAAGTGAATTCCTCTGGGGGATTTAATGGACCTATTACCTGTCAGCGCATATTTAATGTCACCGCCGCCGCCGAATCCTAATAACATCCTCACTAATTGGCGGGTCATTCCTACGGAAGAGCCGCCGCGCTCCTCGCGGGAAACCAACTGAAAGAAAACACGATTATATAATAACGCTGTAATTTCACCATTAACCTTTTTATCTTTTACAAATTTTCAGGGCGGCTTGGGGGGGGGGAGGGGGAGGGGGGGAGGGGGGGGGGGGGGGGGGGGGGTCGTAGCCTCCCTAGCGGTCTGATGATGTCAGGATTTCTGTGCTCAAAGCGGTACATTTTTTGGCACGGAAATATGGTGTTTTTTTATTGCCGGCCTGTAATTTTTAGGAATAACTCCCTGAAATCTGTCCGGACAAGAGTCTAGTACCATCCCGGGGGAGGAGAAAACTTGAAACACGAAATCATAAAAAATAATAATATAAAAATAAATAAATAAATAATAATAAATGTAATTCAATAATATAATCAAACCGAAAAACTGATGGGGCACTACTCCTCCCACTGACACCAATCATGGGACACACTCCTCCCACTGACACCAATCATGGGACACACTACTCCTCCCACTGACACCAATCATGGGACACTACTCCTCCCACTGACACCAATCATGGGACACTACACTACTCCTCCCACTGACACCAATCATGGGACACTACTCCTCCCACTGACACCAATCATGGGACACTACTCCTCCCACTGACACCAATCATGGGCACTACTCCTCCCACTGACACCAATCATGGGGCACTACTCCTCCCACTGACACCAATCATGGGACACTACCCCAGTGACACCAATCATGGGCAACTACTCCCACTGACACCAATCATGGGGCACACTACTCCTTGACACCCACTGACACCAATGACACTGACACCAATACTGCACTACTACTCCCCACTGACACCAATCATGGGCACTACTCCTCCCACTGACACCAATGATGGGGCACTACTCCTCACTGACACCAATGATGGGGCACTACTCCTCCCACTGACACCAATTCACCAATCCCACTGACACCAATGATGGGACACTACTCCTCCCACTGACACCAATCATGGGACACTACTCCTCCCACTGACACCATGATGGGACACTACTCCTCCCACTGACACCAATCATGGGACACTACCTCCCACTGACACCAATGATGGGCACTACTCCTCCCACTGACACCAATCATGGACACTCCCACTGACACCAATGATGGGGCACTACTCCCCCACTGACACCAATCCTCCCACTGACACCAATGATGGGGCACTACTCCTCCCACTGACACCAATCATGGAGCACACTCCCATGACACCAATCATGGGGGCACTACTCCTCCCACTGACACCATCATGGAGCACTACTCCCCAGTGACACCAATGATGGGGCACTAGACTCCTCCCACTGACACCAATCATGGGAGCACTACTCCTCCCAGTGACACCAATCATGGGGCACTACTCCTCCCACTGACACCAATGATGGGGCACTACTACTCCTCCCACTGACACCAATGATGGGGCACTACTCCTCCCACTGACACCAATTGATGGGGCACTACTCCTCCCACTGACACCAATGATGGGGCACTTCTCCCCACTGACACCAATGATGGGGCACTACTCCTCCCACTGACACCAATGATGGGGCACTACCTCCCACTGACACCAATGATGGGGCACTACTACTCCTCCCACTGATTAACCAATGGGGCACACTAAATCCTCCCACTGACACCAATGATGGGGCACTATTCCTCCCACTGACACCAATGATGGGGCACTATTCCTCCACTGACACCAATGATGGGGCACTATTCCTCCCACTGACACCAATGATGGGGCACTATTCCTCCCACTGACACCAATGATGGGGCACTACTCCTCCCACTGACACCAATGATGGGGCACTACTCTCCCACTGACACCACCAATGATGGGGCACTATTCCCCACTGACACCAATGATGGGGCACTATTCCTCCCTGACACCAATGATGGGGCACTATTCCTCCCACTGACACCAATGATGGGGCACTATTTCTCCCCACTGACACCAATGATGGGGCACTATTCCTCCCACTGACACCAATGATGGGGCACTATTCCTCCCACTGACACCAATGATGGGGCACTATTCTCCCCCACTGACACCAATGATGGGGCACTATTCCTCCCCCACTGACACCAATGATGGGGCACTATTCCTCCCACTGACACCAACGATGGGGCACTATTCCTCCCACTGACACCAATGATGGGGCACTATTCCTCCCACTGACACCAATGATGGGGCACTATTCCTCCCACTGACACCAATGATGGGGCACTATTCCTCCCACTGACACCAATGATGGGGCACTATTCCTCCCACTGACACCAACGATGGGGCACTATTCCTCCCACTGACACCAATGATGGGGCACTATTCCTCCCACTGACACCAATGATGGGGCACTATTCCTCCCACTGACACCAACGATGGGGCACTATTCCTCCCACTGACACCAACGATGGGGCACTATTCCTCCCACTGACACCAATGATGGGGCACTATTCCTCCCACTGACACCAACGATGGGGCACTATCCTCCCACTGACACCAATGATGGGGGGCACTATTCCTCCCACTGACACCAATGATGGGGCACTATTCCTCCCACTGACACCAATCATGGGGCACTATTCCTCCCACTGACACCAATGATGGGGCACTATTCCTCCCACTGACACCAATGATGGGGCACTATTCCTCCCACTGACACCAATGATGGGGCACTATTCCTCCCACTGACACCAATGATGGGGCACTATTCCTCCCACTGACACCAATGATGGGGCACTATTCCTCCCACTGACACCAATGATGGGGCACTATTCCTCCCACTGACACCAATGATGGGGCACTATTCCTCCCACTGACACCAATGATGGGGCGCTATTAGTGTCAGTGGGAGGAGTAGTGCCTCATCATTGGAATACCATACCATATTGAAATCAAATCTGATTTTTTTTCTATTTGGTGTGCGTTGGAAGAGGGGTAGTCTTATACGGCGAATATAGCTCAAACCCTATATTTTAACAGGAAAAGTAGGGGGTCGTCTTATACGCCGGCAAATACGGTAATTCAATAATATAATCACCAAAAACACTGAAATGTGAAATAGAGCGCCAAGTCGGCCCATCGCTGAGCTCAGTCGCAGAATCGTTTTCAGTGTCTGATGAGGAATTTCCCCCACCAATCATTATCACTCAATTCTGCAAGTGGTTCTGATTTACTATCGCTGTTCTCTAGCCGCTCTAAAACCGCGTCTGACCTAAAGGGACGCTTTTTGGACGCCATGGACGTTTCTCAGTTTCCAGGCAGAAAGGGCGGTAAAAATGCAGGCAGAGCGCCGGACAAAGCACTCGGGACACAAAGTATGTGAAATGGTTGGATACAGGAATGTTATACGATGTGATTTTAGTGATTTTAGTGAATGTCGCTTTTTGTCATTTTCAAATTTCCTGCTCCGCCCCCGTACGTCCCGACGTCGCAGGGACCGGAACCCGGAAGACAGATGCCGGCATCGGCCGGAGGACATTACTGGGGACACTGCAGGGGGGACATCGCGGGAGCGCAGGACAAGGTAAGTGATCGAGGGATCCCGGAGCAACGCTGCAGTGTATTCCCGAGTGTAGCTGGGGGGGGGGGGGGGGGGTCACAGCTTGTGGTGCTGAAACTTTACCCCGAGCTACAGTCGGGAATACCTCCGGGGGGGTTAATGCAACATTCCCACGAAGGGAGACGTCGGCTGTCACAATGGGCTGATAGAGAACACCTGAAGGTAAACCGTCCGAAACTCCGCGCTGACTGCAAAAATACCTACAAAAATCATCCAATGGCAATACAGGAAAACCGCGCCGGAATGAGCGGAATATAAGAAAATACATGAAAATGAGGAAAATGTTACGCTGCCCCTTTAAGTAATGAAATGACATAAAATATATTTGTAACCTTTTCCATGTAAATGATGTCAGGATACAATGTAGCAGTAATATCGCTGCGGAACCTCGCTGGTCTTCATCCATTGAGGCACTACTCCTCCCAGTGACACCAATGATGGGGCATTACTCCTCCCAGTGACACCAATCATGGGGCACTACTCCTCCCACTGACACCAATCATGGGGCACTACTCCTCCCACTGACACCAATCATGGGGCACTACTCCTCCCACTGACACCAATCATGGGGCACTACTCCTCCCACTGACACCAATCATGGGCACACTACTCCTCCCACTGACACCAATCATGGGGCACTACTCCTCCCACTGACACCAATCATGGGGCACTACTCCTCCCACTGACACCAATGATGGGGCACTACTCCTCCCACTGACACCAATCATGGGGCACTACTCCTCCCACTGACACCAATCATGGGGCACTACTCCTCCCACTGACACCAATCATGGGGCACTACTCCTCCCACTGACACCAATCATGGGGCACTACTCCTCCCACTGACCCCAATGATGGGGCACTACTCCTCCCACTGACACCAATCATGGGGCACTACTCCTCCCACTGACACCAATCATGGGGCACTACTCCTCCCACTGACACCAATGATGGGGCACTACTCCTCCCACTGACACCAAATCATGGGGCACTACTCCTCCCACTGACACCAATCATGGGGCACTACTCCTCCCACTGACACCAATCATGGGGCACTACTCCTCCCACTGACACCAATCATGGGGCACTACTCCTCCCACTGACACCAATCATGGGGCACTACTCCTCCCACTGACACCAATCATGGGGCACTACTCCTCCCACTGACACCAATCATGGGGCACTACTCCTCCCACTGACACCAATGATGGGGCACTACTCCTCCCTGACACCAATCATGGGGCACTACTCCTCCCACTGACACCAATCATGGGGCACTACTCCTCCCACTGACACCAATCATGGGGCACACTACTCCTCCCACTGACACCAATCATGGGGCACTACTCCTCACTGACACCAATGATGGGGCACTACTCCTCCCACTGACACCAATCATGGGGCACTACTCCTCCCACTGACACCAATCATGGGGCACTACTCCTCCCACTGACACCAATCATGGGGCACTACTCCTCCCACTGACACCAATGATGGGGCACTACTCCTCCCACTGACACCAATCATGGGGCACTACTCCTCCCACTGACACCAATCATGGGGCACTACTCCTCCCACTGACACCAATCATGGGGCACTACTCCTCCCACTGACACCAATCATGGGGCACTACTCCTCCCACTGACACCAATGATGGGGCACTACTCCTCCCACTGACACCAATCATGGGGCACTACTCCTCCCACTGACACCAATGATGGGGCACTACTCCTCCCACTGACACCAATGATGGGGCACTACTCCTCCCACTGACACCAATCATGGGGCACTACTCCTCCCACTGACACCAATCATGGGGCACTACTCCTCCCACTGACACCAATGATGGGGGCACTCCTCCCACTGACACCAATGATGGGGCACTACTCCTCCCACTGACACCAATGATGGGGCACTACTCCTCCCACTGACACCAATGATGGGGCACTACTCCTCCCACTGACACCAATGATGGGGCACTACTCCTCCCACTGACACCAATGATGGGGCACTACTCCTCCCACTGACACCAATGATGGGGCACTACTCCTCCCACTGACACCAATGATGGGGGGCACTACTCCTCCCACTGACACCAATGATGGGGCACTACTCCTCCCACTGACACCAATGATGGGGCACTATTCCTCCCACTGACACCAATGATGGGGCACTACTCCTCCCACTGACACCAATGATGGGGCACTACTCCTCCCACTGACACCAATGATGGGGCACTATTCCTCCCACTGACACCAATGATGGGGCACTATTCCTCCCACTGACACCAATGGCATGGGGCACTATTCCTCCCACTGACACCAATGATGGGGCACTACTCCTCCCACTGACACAATGATGGGGCACTACTCCTCCCACTGACACCAATGATGGGGCACTACTCCTCCCACTGACACCAATGATGGGGCACTACTCCTCCCACCATGATGGGGCACACCAATCCTCCCCTGCACCTATGGGGCACTATTCTCCCACTGACACCAATGATGGGGCACTCCTACTCCTCCCACTGACACCAATGATGGGGCACTACTCCTCCCACTGACACCAATGATGGGGCACTATTCCTCCCACTGACACCAATGATGGGGCACTATTCCTCCCACTGACACCAATGATGGGGCACACTATTCCTCCCACTGACACCAATGATGGGGCACTATTCCTCCCACTGACACCAATGATGGGGCACTATTCCTCCCACTGACACCAATGATGGGGCACTATTCCTCCCACTGACACCAATGATGGGGCACTATTCCTCCCACTGACACCAATGATGGGGCACTATTCCCCCACTGACACCAACCATGGGGCACTATCCCCCTCCCACTGACACCACCTGATGGGGCACTATTCCCCCACTGATACCAATGATGGTCCTACCCCCCCCCACTGACACCATATGCATGGGGCACTACTCCTCCCACTGACACCATGATGGGGCACTATTCCTCCTATATACCCCATACCAGCATCCTGATCACCCCCATACCCCATACCAGCGTCCTGATCACCCCCATACCCCATACCAGCGTCCTGATCACCCCCATACCCCATACCAGCGTCCTGATCACCCCCATACCCCCATACCAGCATCCTGATCCCCCATACCCCATACCAGCGTCCTGATCACCCCCATACCCCATACCAGCGTCCTGATCACCCCATACCCCATACCAGCATCTGATCACCCCCATACCCCATACCAGCATCCTGATCACCCCCCATACCCCATACCAGCGTCCTGATCACCCCCATACCCCATACCAGCGTCCTGATCACCCCCATACCCCATAC